CATATTCATGTATACTTCCACATTCATGAATCTTCAATACATTGAACCTTGATTAATGAATATAGTTTAATTTCCCACACGCCCCCGCCCCCTAAGATTGATTCTCGCATTGCCAGATGACTCCGCAACTTCTCAAATAATTATCTCTTGAGGGGTTTCGTGAAGATGTCAACAATTGGATCTTTGGACTTCACGAACTTCACATTAACTTCCATCTTTGCAGTGCACTCTTCAATGAAATTATACCGAGTATCAATGTCTTTGTTTCTATCACGATATACTGATTTTTTGGCTAGTGCAATTATGGACTTTTTATCGACAAAAACTTGTGTCGAACCTTCTTAATCAAAACTAAGCTCATTTTATAAGATATTTAGCCATATTGCATGACATTGACTCGATGTCATTACCACATACTCAACTGAACGCTGCTACTCCAAAGTAGAATATAAAATCACTTGTACTGTTTCGCTCATCGGGATCTCCAGCCCAATCGACGTCGTTATATCCGGCTCGCTTCATAATGTTCGTTGTTGGGTAGAAGATACACAAATTGGTAATTCGTTTAATATAGCGGAGTAACCTCTTTGCTACTTTGAAGTGATACTCTTTTGGGTCCTCCATGTATGGCTAACAGGACCAACTATAATAGAATATCTGGACTTGTGCACGTAAGATACCTCAAATTTCTAGCCAAGATTTTCAATGAGGTTTAATCGATGGACTCTCCTTTAAGGTGCTTCGACAATTTGTCTACAATGTCAATTGGAGTACTAATTTCCTTGAAATTCTCCCTTTTGAACTTTTTAAGCACATCTTCGCACAGCCTTCTTAGGCGATGAAGGTGCCATCATCTCGTTGCTTCACTTTAATACCAAGAAAGTGAAACATCAACCCAATGGTTGTCATCTCGAACTCATTGGATATCTCCTTTTTAAACTCATCAAATAACTTCATATTGTTCTCCTGTAATATCAAATCATCAACATACAAACACAGAATTAACATATCACCTTTATCGACCTTCATAAACATCGCATGCTCATGTGAACATTTTTTTAATCTCTTTTTCAAAAAAATATTGATTAATATGGCTATTCCACACCCTTGGTACTTGTTTCAAACGATAAAGTGCTTTCTTTAATTTCAAAACATTATTCTCTTGACACAGAACCAATTAACCTTATCTTCTGGTTGGTCAATGTACACCTTTTCCTAAAGCACTCCATTTAGAAATTTTGATTTCATATCCATTTGATATATGTTCCACTTGTTTTGCTTGCATCATTTGAGAACAAGCCTAGCCTTGCATCGTTTCACCTTGATTTTGGAATTCTTTTTCACCTTATAAACCCATTTAACTCCGATTGGTTTATTCCCCGACTGTAAGGAAGTAAGTTCCCATGTACCATTGTTCTTGATGGCCTCAATATCTTCGTTCATGGCCTTTTCTCCACTTCTAACGTTTTGATGTCCCCTCAAAATTGATAGATCTGTTTAAAAAAAAATAAGTTAGGAAACTGATTGAGTCGTTTATAAATATCGTGTAGTGACCTTGTCTTTTGAGGTCATTCGCTACTCTAACTTTCACCTTCGAATGAAGATGCAGGTGATGACGGTGGAGTTACGTCATCTAGGGGCTCATCTTCAAATTCCTTCATTGTTGCCTCTGATGGATAGAATGTGTAATGCTCTTTTTCGTGAGCATTCCAATACCACGAACTCTTCTTATCGGACACAACGTCTCGACTTATTCATATTTTTTCCTCAACAGGATTGTATAACTTGTATCATTTTGATGTTTTGTCTTACCCAACAAAGATATACTTTTGGATTTTGTCATCAAGCTTCCTCTGTGGTTGGTACGGAACATGGATATGGGTAATATTTCCAAAAACTCTCAAATGTGCTATACTAGGCTTGAATTCATTCCAAGCCTCTTGTACTGCTTGGTAAAAAACACTCCTCATCAAACTCCAGTTTAATAGATAAACACCACAATCAATGAATTCATCCCAAACTCCTTATTATTTGTTTGGACTGTAACATGCATCGAACCGATCGATTCTTCCTATACACGATACTTTTTTGCTGGGGTAAGTAAGCCACGGTAAGGGGTCTGCGAATACCATTCGCATCACATAATGCAAACTCCACCACGGCCACTACCTCTGCCTTAAAATCGAACACCATGATATTTTGGTTAGTCGAAATGGTTTGTCTTTGCTTGAAAGGCTTGTTCTACTTCGGGCCCTTTGTTTCGTCTTTTGATCTTCTCCTCATGGACTTCTAATTTTCCCAAAATCTCATTCAATTTAAGACTCTTAACGTTGTTGTACTCTTTGATTTCCACGACGATGTAATCGAACCTCGGCTCAAGGGATCACGTATCTTTTCAACCAACTTTGTTCTCTTCCATTTTT